TTGCTGGACCTCAGTCTCTTCCAAATTCTATTTCTTCCTCTACCAGAAGTATTGTTAAGTCAATTATTCATAGCATAAAATCATTTTCTGTGCATTCATTGTGACTTTTTATTTATTACATCTTGTCATTGGGCTTGGCCCTGTTCAAACAAGAAATCGTGGTCCTTATCCCTAGGATATTTCACATCTAGTGCAGACAGGCAAAATAATTCAGATGTATATAAAACATGTTGCGAAAAACATAATCCCCTTCATTAACCATTTTACTGCTGCCTAATATGGTATGTATGTTAAGTAAAACATTTCTAGTGCTATCGTATATATTCGGGTACGTCATCTGCATTCTATTTGAATTTCAGTGACCTATCAGAACAAAGGAACACAGCAGTGAAACAACACTGTTAGGAAGTTCAGCCAATGTAGATTATATATCCGGGATTACTAGCAAACACTTTAGCGGAGCAGGAGCATTTCTTTAAAATAGAGAAAGAATGTGCAGGTATTGCAAATCAATAAAGCCTCTAATGTTTAATATACAAATAATATGATAAACACAGCAAGGGTTGTGGCTTTGTCTGTTGTTGCTGTTAATAATTTCTTTCACTTTCCATTCTTATTCCAGCAGCTTGCAAGAAAATCTTGGAAGGAAATATTTACTATGAGTTATATTTCCGTCTACAGAAATACAATGGATTGTATCTGTTTATATGAGTTCCTTTCCTATCTCACCCACCACTGATTGCTACCCTGCAATGCTGACTTTACTTTACAAAACAGAAGTTCAATGCATATAAACCACTTTCAAAATGGCTGAAATTGTTTTAAAATAAACCTGGATGAACGTAATATCAGACTTAACTGATTTAGGTTAAATCAGTTTGTTGAACTACTGTCCCAGATCCCCTCCAGATTCAAGTTCACTCACAGGCCCCCAGAATCGCAGGATGCTTTACATCTCCTTGGCAAATCCCTTCCTCACAGGATGGGTGGGCTAGGTTTGGCCCAAGCTAGGTTTGCAACAGCCAAGCAAAGAGGCATGTTCTAGTGCCCTCTTGCTTCTGGCCTGGGTCCCTGCAGGCATGTGGCTGCATTTCTGGAATCAAAAGTGAATGTCTGTCCTCTTGCTGATTGGTTCAATCAATTCAGTTTAGACTAACCTGCAAAGATTGAATAGATTCAGCCTCAGGCTTTTTGATTGTCTGTACTTAGCCTAAGTGATACTCCTCCTCTTATTTTTTACTTAGTTTAAAGGTGCAGCTAACACTGCTAGTTGCCTCTTTTTACTCCTTCCCTCAGGCATAGGTAAAAAATAAATTATTTTTCTAGCAATGTGCAGAATAATCCAATGTGTATAAAATATTCACCTATTTCTTCCTGTCCCCAATGCACAGTTCAGATCCCAACTTTCCCCACCTGCATAGTTGTTCAGATTTAAACTCATTTACAAAGATAGGTATAAGCTCCCAGATTCAGATCCTGATCTTAATTCTCAGGGGGAATTCCCATGGACACAAGATACGAGTCAAGTTTCTTTCTAGTTTCTTCACAAATGTTTGACTTCTCCCTATTTGTTCTTAGTAAGTAACTAATGCTGCAAAGGGGTTGGGCTCGATTTGAGAGGGAAGTCACTTTAGTTTAGCTAATTGTAACTTTGTAATGACATCTTGTGGTTGATTCACCTAAGCGCATAGCAGATATCTACCCACACACACTGGCAGAGTCTCAAGAAGACTGTAAACTCTTTGTCCAATAAGAGGAAAACAGAAAGACTTTTCCGTAAGCATTTAGCAGGGAGTCTTGCAACCTAAAATTAAACCACAAGTAAAATAATACACAATAAAGAGAAGGTAGGAAGCAGTTTGGAAACCATTGAATTAATTGTGTTTAATTAGATAAAGGGACATGGTCAACATAAACATTTAGTCATTTTTACAAAAAGATAAATTTCTTAAAATAACTTCAGGTCCTAAGTCTCCCTGACATTTTTAACAACCACTTTTTGTTATTTTTAACAAATATTTTCCTTTCCCTGTTGCTGCATGAAAAGTCTATACTAACAGAAAGGGAAAACTGACTCTTATTTAACTAACTCAAGAAATTAAACTGACTCACAAATTAAAGAATATGAGGAACAATGCTTACTCTATTTTTTACATCTAATGCAGACAGGCACCTAGTAATCCTAGGTGTTACTTAGTAGAATAGTGGATTTAAAAAATATTAGGCAGACTACAAATCTACAAGTAGATTTTGGTTTTTTATCCAAAAGTTTTTAAATGATTTAATAAAAAACACTAAACAACACCCCATCCTTTCTCAAAAAGTTTTTCTTAGCCATGAACAAGTATGAAAGGATTGTTGAAAAGCATGAAAATCACACTTTCTGAAGCTATTTGAGAAACATTAACAAGCAAACTGATTGTCATTTAAGATTAATATCTCCTACTGAGGCTTTCTATAGAGATTCTTATGGAGTTATATTTAGGTTTTATGGCTTCTGTATTTTTTTAAATAATAGGTATGTAGTTTCAGGGAAATGTCTTATATTTAAGGAGCAAATTATGATCTTTTAAATCCCAGATTAAGACATTGTTTTCTTTAGATTATATTTTTCTCTTTGTAACCCATGGATCCCATTGAATTCAATAGAATTAAGAACAAGATTCAATTTAGTAGATTCTGGGCACATCTACGTGTGAATTAATGCACCTTTTTAAATGCAAATTAAATTTAGTACCTCCAATGTGAGGTACTAAATTAATGTACATTAGGTTGCGCTAATACGCAACAGTGCATTTGCATGCATTTTTAGTGACGCTTAATACGCAGTAGACTATTTTACTGCCCGTTAGTGTAATGGCATGGTTTTTTATGTGATGCTTTAACGGGCAGTAAAATAGTCTACTGAGCATTAAAGCACATGTATAGATAAACCTTTAGTGTCCATTGGCATTTCTATAAATATTTTTAGTATTGCAAATGTGACAAGTTTAGGGCATTTTTCTGCATATTTTCTAGTAATATCTCACATACTTTCATTGTTAGGATTTAATGGGTTTTATTGAATTATACTAAAACTGGAAATGCTAATTATAGTATATAGGCTGTAAATATTATAATTAGCATTATATGCAGCATACTCTATATTGTAGAGGAATATATAAAAACCATGTATCAGTACTAGAAACCAGTCAGTGATAAAAAACCCCACTGAAAGCACCCTCATGCCCCTACACTTTTTAGAACAAATCTTTGCTGATTCAGGAAGAGAATACAAAAATAATTGTTTTGCGATCAAGGCCACACTGTATGAACCATACAATCAAATAAGACAAGCATTCTCATATAGTTGCTACTGATAGCATTTTATCAAATATTTTCTGATGCACAAACATGAGTCACATGGCCAAACACACAGAATAATTTATCCCAAGATAAAACAAAAGACCAGGTGCCCATAATCTAAAATGCAAATGAAAAACATACAGTAATTAGACATTAATTAGCTTAACATCAGCATTCCTCCTGGTGTTTAATTACTCAAGGCCACATCAGTTAAAGTAGGGGGAAGGGACTTTACATTACTAACATACAGTAGATCCAAAATTTGTCAAGCCTCAAGCTTAAACATTTCATTTTATCCAAAATAATTGTGGGGTTTCCTGAAGTAAGGGCTTGTTTCGGCAAGGAGGAAGATGAGAATGGAAATGAACACTAGAGAATCATCAAAGCCTGAATGTGGGGAACAATGTGTGACCAAAACCAATAATGAGGGATACAAGAATAATCCATATAGGAACTACCAGAAAATTCAGTGGGATTTCTTTCTTTCTAAAGCCTTGGCTTTATGACTTCACTGCTTTTGAGTGATAAAAGCAATGGGACACCATATTGGTGCACACCACAGATGACTGGGCCTGAAATGGGTGACCTCCTGCAAGGTGAGGTGCATTTGAGACGTGTGCTCTTGAGCAGAATGTGCTTTTTAATGCAGGTCCTCCTTGGGTGAATTAAGACATGGGAAAGAGGTGCTATTGCAGTCTAGCTAGCGAGGATCCTGAGCCCAGTGCTGGTCGGGAGCCTGAGCCAGCTGGCTATATGAATTATGGGAAGCATTGCTGTTTCTCTGGCTGTCTTCAAAACGGCCTCTATACTTGCTTCCTCCTAAGCTCAATCTTTCTATTTAGTCAGGTGACACAGGGCTCAAGCATGTCAGCAGGAGTATCTCAGAGTAAAGGACATGGCAGTTACATATATCATTCTTACTGTCCACATCCTGCCTCCAGTACCATATCTAGACTCTTGACGGACCTGGGCAAACTTTTAGTATCGGGCCCCTCTTTATCAGAGATAATTATAACAATAATTGGACAACAACAACAACAACAACAAAATTACCATTTACGGTAATTTACCCTTTCTGTCCGGGCCCTGGGCAGCCTCCCAGTTCACCCATGCCTGTGTCTGGGTCTGCCTGCCTCCACTTCCCCAATACTCACAGTTAGGGCATTAAAACTTACTCAAACGGCAGCACTCATTTCTCTATTCTGTGCAGTTATACCCACATGCTCCCATTGAATTCTATTGGAGTTTTGCCATGGGATTCAGTAGAAAGAGAGTGTTTAGCTCTGGGAAATACTAAAAGATTGAGCAAAAGCACTGTGCCATCCTTTTTTTTTTCTCCCCATCAAGTTTCTCACACGTAGAGATCAAGCCCTAAGATAGCATGCTTTGAATCCCTGATAGATTTTAGTGAAGATAAGGGAGTTAGATTTTAATTATATTAATGTTCAACTCAAGGAATTGCACTTGAAACTAATTGCACTGTTTTTGCATTTTCTAAAGAAAATATTTTTAAAGTATCAAACTGAATCCTGCTGCATTTACAGGAGATTTCACCATCCCCCAATTTCACAAAAACTTCAGATGTACCTTCAAACTCTTTGTAATATATCAATTCTACATTTATTAATAAAAACACTGCATATCTTGCACCCAACTCAACTCTTCTGAAAACTGAGCATCTGGAAGTCAGCCTGGGCTCCAGCTGTGTCACATGGATTTTCCCTGCCTTCTGAAACAAGCTGCTCCACGGTTTTTGAAGTTTCTGGGTCCAGTGAGCAGGGACTACCCAGAGTATCACCACTGCTATTGCAGTGCACAGGGGAGGTCATGTCAGAGGGCTGATCTGATGGTTTGCCTGTAGTAGAAGGAAGGGGCATTGATAGAGGAAGATTCATCATGTAGAATGCATTTCCCAGACGTCGAGACACCTTTAAAGACAAAACCAGTTATGGTGATTGTGTCTACAAATAATGTTGGTTTATTAAATGACCAGCTTAACATTACATTTGATTCCAATGCCAGATTATCTACAGGTGGATGGGGACATGGCCTGAGAGCTTTCTGGCCGTGTACTCCAGCCATCTCACAAAGACAGGTATTGTAGTTAGCAAAAAATCTGAAATTTCTTTGACTGCCCCTCCCCCACATTTCTGAATGAAACTGGCCATGCTCATTTACTGAGTGAGTTTGGCTGTGCCCTGCACCACCTTTGTGGGAAGTTGAGTTACATTCCCTGTAGATGGTGCTGTTTAGCATGCATAGGATAGCAACAATGACAGCTAATGATAGTAAGGAAGACAGGTCTAATAAGAGAATGAGAGACACTGGAGAGTGTATAGTAGAGAACCATCTTCAGTGGCCAGATGAGGGAAGGAATGAGAGGAGACAGATTAGTTTAGTCAATTATACCTTCTCATTTCTAATTTCAATCCATGCTATGATTCTGGCTGTGGATCCTGACATTCCCAAAAGGTACTCACTCCAGTTACTGTCTTTTTCAAGAAGTCATTCATAGGCACTCTTTAACTTGAGCTAATTTGTTGCCCACCTGGAGTGGGCAGTGCATCGGGTCACAATATTATTTCAGATATTTTGTGAATGGAAAAATATAACTTGGAGAAGTCAAAAGCAGTTCAATTCAAATGCTTCATATGACTCACAAATCTTTCATTCTCCCACTGTTTGGAATTTGATTGTATTTAGCCACTGTACCTGAGATCGAATTTTTAGTGCTGGGCCAAGTTTTAATCCCATTGTGTCCAAAAGATGTTCCTCTGTGAGCAGTGGCAAGGTTTCTCCATCAATAGCATGGTCTTTAAATAACTTATCAAACAAGGAAATTATTGTCACAATTTGTTAGAGCAGGCTTTACCATTTCTATTTTCTATCTTAATCAGGATACATAGATAATAAAAGTGGAAAACAAAACCATTAAAGTAATTCAGCTTATATTAATCCAATAAATAATAGTTTCACCTCTCATTTTTGGGAGTATGTGGCTGTCAGCATCTCTACTTGAAATATATCTACTGATTCTCAATAAGCCCTGACCTGATAACACTGCAGCATTATTTAGTTTCATTATTTTAGTGCAAGTAAGTATTTTGTGATCAATAAAGGAGGCTTTTATTACACTCATCTTTTCTTTGTCTATGAATATAAAAATTTCCAGCCTTCTGTTTACATTGCAAGTGATCTTTCAGAGGAAAATGGAATGAGTAATTTCACTATCCCTTGACTACTGAAATGGTAGGTTGGTTACATGAATGTCCTAAGAAAAAAAAAAAAAGCTGCTTCTGTCTGTCCACAAATTGTGCAAAGTGCTCTCCTGGAGCCTGGGGAGAAGGCAGGGGATCGGGTCCTTATGCTTTCCCTAACTGTTCCTAGGTCACTTATCCCCTCATCCATGCCAAAGAGCGTTAATCAACACCGCAGTTTCTTTAGGAAAGGAACTGTCTTTTATTACATGGCTGCAATCCCAGCTAAAATATTATCTGAACTTTAAACTCAGGATATGTATCTTTAAAGATCTAGACATGTATGGTAAATGTGATTAATATTCATGATCACCTGAGCACAGTCTGAACAACCTGGGAGACTAATAATAAAATTGAATACGTCATTGACCGTCCATTTGCGAATGTCTTCAATGGAAGAAATATCTTCTCCATTCAAAATCAGGCTGTGTCCTCCTTTAAGAAGAAAACAAAAATGTTTTACTTGCATTATTTTGATTGACAAAGCAATAGGAAAAGCTTATTAAGAGTTTATACACACCTACAGCATCTACTTCATACACTAACAATGCTACATAGTCCCATGCATATAGCTAAGTCTTAAGCAAAATACGAAGCTGTCACTCATTGCTTTCTGATATTGAAGGGGTTTTTTTTTCTTTTTTGTTAAATGACATTTTTTGAAATCTCTATTCAGTGACATTTGGGAACATTGTATTGTTACATGTCTCCACACCCTTTTTTAACCTCAACTCATCACACCCCAGATCTGCTGTAAACACATGCAGAAAGAGAATGGATGAAAGAGAGCACCACTTTCAGAAACTACAGCAACATTGTTTATTTTTGCACTGCCTTAACCTGCATTTACTTTGCAGACAGGAAACATTTAAGGCTTGTCGGCAAGCTGCAGAATTCATTCAGTAGTGACACAGACTGGCTCTTGTGCATGTTCTTAGATGTAGATATAAGCCTACCTTCATTTAAGTGAATGGAAGTTTTGTTCATATCGGACCCACTGCCATTAAAGCATTTAGCAGTTGCAGCAAAACAGTAATCCTCAATCTGTGGTTTGAGACAGAGAGATCTCTTAGAGGACTATAGTTGACTGTCAGAGAATTTAAGTCTTGGGTATAAATTTCATTTCTGGCAACTTTTAGGAAGACTCCCTATGCTACCTGACAAACCAAGAAGAGCTGATCAAGCAGGGAGTTGCTGCCAGGATCCTTCCTATCCTGGCATCCATCCTCAGAGTATGGAATACATTGAATAGAGTTGAAGGGAATGATTGCATGACCCTGATATAACACATGGTGTGTGTTAGTGTCACATCTGCATGTGATGTAATCTTGTTACAACAGCACAATAGCATGGCACAAACATTACATCAGTTTGTAGGAGTTTGTTTTGTGAAGTTCCCCCTTTGCCACTCTGTCTCTTGCCTGAGTGCTTCAGCAGTGTTGAACATAAAACTATCATTATGCCAGGAAAACAACATGGGAAATGCACTATAAATGGGAGAGATCGCATTTGTTTGCCATCACCCATAGGCATATATCAAGCCATTGTTACTGTTAATTGCAGCACAAACCACTGGTTAACTCAGTTAACTTCTTTAAATTCTGGAAATTGGGAAATAAGGTTAAAATAAAGAGAGAACGATGAGAGCTAATCAACTAAAAACAATTAATATGACATCAAATTATTATGTGAAGACTTGACAAACCTGGAGGTAGTAGTGGGTTACTGGGTGCAGGGAATCCATATGGCAGTGCCGAGAATGTCAGTGCAGATGGATACGTGTACTTGTCATCAAAGGCTGTACAGGAGTTACTGGAGTCCTTCTCATTTGCACTGCTGCAGACGTTTGTTCCAGTGGGGATTTCATGAGTAGCACAGCTTTTTCTCAGGCCAGGTTCAAACTCTTTACAGCTTTTGGCAACTGTAGCAGACGGCTCAGCATGGGCTTTGTTTTGTTCCTGTTTGCTTGGTGTCTCAGCTTCTGCTTCTCTCTTGCCTTCTTTCTCATCATCAGCTGCAACAGAAGCAGAGTCAGCAGTCTTGTCTTCACTTTGGCTCTTGCCGCCATTGCTGTTGCAATCTCCAGTTTTGTGAGTCCCAGCTCTTCTTCCTGGCCGACGGCCTCTCTCTCTTTGTAGACTGCTCACAGGAGGGTATGGGCTGGTCGCCACAAGCACAGAGTTGCCATGAAGGTCATCAAGCATGGTTCGATGAACATATAAGTCACTAGAAAGGTGGCCGTCAGGCAGTCGGTGCCTACCACGGAAACCAGCTGAGCTAACTGGCATGCCATGGTACAGGAAAGGTGCTTCCAGGCCCAGTAGCCCTTTACGATGAGCTTTCTCAATTTCCTTTTGTTGAAAAATAGCACTCATTTCCATTTCCATTCTAAGAGATGCAGAAAGCGTAAGCAATGAGGACTGATCAGTTCTCTTGTCTTTTCTTTTTCAGTGACAGGTTAAAACAAAGGGTAATTGGCTACAAAAACAGATTGAAATAGAAAAAAGTTCCACTCTTTTTTCCCCTCTCCTGTGTTGCTGGACATGAAAGAGCCAGATGAACAGCAGAGGAAACAGTAAAAATGACTCTACCCAAGGTGCTGCCAAATACACAAAGTAAACCAAGAAATACTGAAAAAATACTTTGCTTGTGACAATCGTGGATGAAATATTTTTCAGCACAGATATTGCTGCATCAATTACATTTACCTCACATTTTGAAAACTCCTATCCATAAAGGTTTAAGATATTTATTAAAAACAGAAGCTTAGATTGCCAAGCAAAACTTGACAGTAAAACTGAAAGAAAGACAAGTATTTGACCTGGCATTATTTTGACATTACAGGCCTCCGCCATATTCTAGAAACAATTACCATTAATGAGTGAAAAATCTCATGACAGTTCTTCATTTTGCCTTGGCCCCATCTATCGCTCAGGAGGTTGCAATGGGGCTGGATTCTTACAGTTAATGGTCAGCTGAAGATAAAGCTCATGGAATGGCCTCCTGTGATAGCCCCTGCCTGTTGACTCTGTAAAGAGGAGGCTTGCAGGAGGCCAGACCAGTGTGGAAACAGGCGTCTGATCCTCCCTGGTAGCCCTTCCACTGCACCAACTGGAGCTCAGACACTGAGCAGATCCAAGATACTCTTCCCAAATTCAAAACAGGGGAGGTTTTGCCCATCATTCCTGCCTTGAAGAGTTCCTAATGTGCCTTCCATATGAGAAGGAGATTCATAGATTCATAGAAGTCGGGTTGGAAGGGACCTTGTAGATCATCAAGTCTCACCCCCTACCCTGGGCAGGAGAGAAAACCGGGCTCAAATGACCCCAGCCAGGTAGACATCAAGCCTCCTCTTAAAGACCCCCAGGGTAGGAGCCATCACCACTTCCCTTGGAAGTTGGTTCCAGATCCTAGCCGCCCTGTCTGTGAAGTAGTGCCTTCGGCTGTCTAGTCTAAACCTACTCTCTAGCAACTTATGGCCGTTATTCCTTGTTACCCCAGGGGGCGCTAGGGGGAACAGGGTCTCCCCCAAACCCTGCTGGTCCCCCCTGGTGAGTTTATATACGGCCACCAGGTTCCCCCTCAGCCTTCTCTTACGAAGGCTGAACAGGTTAAGGTCCTGTAGCCTCTCTTCATAGGGTCTGTACTGCTGTCCCCGGATCATGCGGGTGGCCCTCCTCTAGGCCCTCTCAATGCTGTCCACATCCCTCCTGAAGTGCGGTGCCCAGAACTGAACACAATACTCCAGCTGTGGCCTGACCAGTGTCGCATAGAAGGGGAGGATCACCTCCTTGCCCCTGCTTGAGATGCATCTGTGGACGCATGACAAGGCACGGTTAGCCTTACTGACCGTGACCTCGCATTGTCGGCCCACGTTCATCTTGGAGTCAGTAATGACTCCAAGATCTCTTTCTGCCACTGTGCTCTCAAGAAGGGCGTTTCCCAGCTTATAAGTGTGCTGCTGGTTGTCAGTATTGAAACCCATCCTATTTTCATTAGCCCACCTCTGTAACCTGTCCAGGTCCTGTTGTAATCTGTCCTTCCCTACTAGCATGCCCACCTCACCCCAAATCTTGGTATCAGCAGCAAATTTAAACAGGCTGCTTTTCACCCCATCATCCAAGTCACTAATAAAGAAATTGAACAGTGCGGGCCCAAGGACCAAGCCCTGGGGGACTCCACTGCCCACTTCCTTCCAGGTCGAAAAAGACCCATCCACCACTGTCCTCTGAGTACGACCCTTCAGCCAATTTGCAATCTATCTGACTGTGTAGGTATCAATGCCACAGTCACCTAGTTTTTTTATGAGAATGGGGTGGGAGACAGTGTCAGAAGCCTTGCTGAAGTCCAGAAAGACTACATCCACCGCAACACCTGCATCCAGTGCTTTTGTGACCTGATTGTAGAAGGCAATCAGGTTGGTCTGATAGGACCTGCCCCTAATGAAACCATGCTGGTTGCCCTTGAGCATCATCCCTGCTCCTGGCCCATCACAGATGTGCTCCTTGATGATCTTCTCAAAGAGTTTCCCCAGAATTGAAGTAAGACTAATGGGCCTATAGCTGCCCGGGTCTTTCCTCTTCCCTTTTTTGAAGATGGGGACAATGTTGGCTCTCTTCCAGGCATCTGGCACCTGGCCAGAGCACCATGAGTGCTTGTAAAGCCGTGCCAGGGGTCCCGCAATAACCCCTGCCAATTCCCTCAACACCCTGGAGTGGAGAGCATCTGGACCTGCTGATTGGGAGGAATCAACCAATTTTGGACTGATCAGGACATTTTCATTAACATCATAATGAAAATAAAGGGTTAGAGAGCACTGGATAAAGGTATGACAGGAATTTTTTTACTAGATTGTAGAAGCCTCACTGCCTGCATGTTAGGTCCCTGTATGACCGAATATACAGAGCTGTCATACACTGGTACCTAATGGAGATTTTCCTTTCTCACATCCTTGTGACAATGCATTTAACACAGCTTGTTAGAATCTGACAGGCCACACCACAAGCACTTCTGCTATACCCTTGAACTAGTTAACTGAGTACTTTAGCACCTGCACCACACCAGCTCCCTAATAGAGACTGACTGCCACTGAAACCTTGTGTCTTTAGACCTCCTGGTGATCTAAAATAGGGAATGTAAGAGGTAAAGAATGTAACTTAAATAGTTTGGGCATTCAGCAGAGTAGAATCAGTCTGGGCAATGAACAGAAAGCAGCCTTGACAGAAAAGTAAATAACAGAAGGGTTTAAAAAGGGAGTTATGGTATGATGCTGCTGAATCCTATCCTAGTAACAGGATGGCCTGCCCTTTTCATCTAGGACCTGGGGCTAGCCAGCCCTGTTTTGAAGCACAGGCTCTTCAGTAACAGCTGTTTGGGGTTGGTAGAACCAAGTGGGAAGGGGTCAGGTGAGTACCTGATGAGCATCTAACTTATATAAAGGCTGAAAACATCAGTGTGAGAAGAAGCATTATAGGGAGAAATTTGTTGGTGGCAGGGTTCTCCCCCCCAAACAGATTGTCCATACACAAGTGGGGTAAAAGCAGCCAGCCAGGAGTCTGTGGGTCTAGGGAAAGCTAGTTGTTGGATTTTGTTTAAGGTGATTTATTTTGGGGGTTAGCTTTAGGTTTGTGCTATGGAGGAAGGAGTCTGAACTGGCTCTGGGCATGGTGCTAATCCTTCCTGGTCTGAGGGGACAGACCCACAACCTTTCAACCCTTTCTGTTAATCATTTTTTTTCTACACTTTCCCTTTTCCCAGTCTTTGTTTTGACTGTCGTTGTTTAGGGCATTCTCTTTCTGCTGTCATAAGCCTGGACTCGAAGCTCTTGGGGGAATTCACCCACTCTGTTCTGGGTACCCATAGATGCAGGAAGTTGGTATGACATTTTGCAATTTAAATTACAAAGCTCAACAGAGAGAATGGACTAAGAGCCTGTTCTGATGGTGAGGGTAGAGTATGGGGTGTGTGGGGAAGGGAATACAGGTTTTTGAGCCACTAGCTGATTATATGAAAACCGCAGCAAATTGCCGGACCCTGCATAATGATCCCCGACACCAACATTTACTAAGCAGGACTGCTGGTCACTGTGTATGCTGGAGAGGTTTCCAATCTTCCCACAACGCCAGCTGTAGAATTTTAAAATGGAATGAGTCATGAGACCAAGTTGTGAAGCTCAGACTTTATTCTGAGACCTTCTAGAATCAAGGTGTTTGGATCTAGGAGTCCACATCGGAGGCAGGGGCATGTTGCAAAGCTTGGGTCCAGATACAATCTCCAACTTGTTCTGGGGGTTCTAGTCTCTTAAATATCCTACTGAAAGCTACAAGGAGACTGGGAGGCTAACAGAGTTTAGCTGCTCCTCAGGCTTCCTGAAATCTTTAGGACTTCTTACTGTTCTGGATGGTTGAATAAGTATTGCTATTTACTTTAACAAGGCACACCAACATTAGGTCATTGAAAAGTCTGTAGTTCAACCTTTCCTGCCTGCTACATGAACCTCAGACCACAGCACAGAGTCAATTACCTGGCAATATTTTGCTTTTGAACCAGCTCCTGCCTCCTGGCCACAGCTTCCATGGAGTCTGGTGGGAGAAAAGTGTATCCTAAAACGAAAGTTTAGAAATGCTTAGAATTCTCTCATTTCTGCCAAGCAAATAGAAGCACCCAAAGCTCTACAGGGACAGTTTACTGGGATGCTAAAAATATGAGCTTTAAAATATTTTTCTCATCATCGGTATAACTTTGAGCCAGATCTTATAAATGTTCATTACTTCATTAAACTTATAGTTTAATTAATTAATTAGCATGAAGTCAGCAAGTGCTTTCAGGGCCCAATCCTTAGTCAGGAACACATATATATTCCTCATAGGCCAGGGCAGAAGGGATATTTATATGGCAACTCCGGTCTTTGAAGTATGTACAAAAGCAACTCAGTAAATAACTGATGATTTAGAAAAGGAAAGCCAATTTGTTCCATGTAAGTCTATTTAAAGCCTGGCTACCCTGAACTTGCGTTCAATTTTTAATAGTATTTCCTCCTGAGGACTCCCAGATCCATCTGTAGTATATCAAAGGCAGAAACCTACAGCAGGGAGAGAAGCTGAAGTCAAAAACATCCTGTTTCTGCATCTTGAAGGCTTCTAAAAGCTGCCCTGAGCCCTGTACTCAGGCCTGAGTACAGCCTCTGATTGTTGATTATTTTCAGCATAATGTTATTTTCAGAGTTCTGAAGCCAAGAAGTTTGCCACAGCATCCACTTATTCCCAGAGAAACATGCAGCACAGTCTAAGCTTTCATTAAATGTGTACCCCCCTACATGGGAACAGATCAGCTTCAGGTAGAATGAAAGGGTTCTGATCGGAGAATGTGATCAATAACAGCTCCTTAAAACAGCCAAGATAAACAATATCATATTAAAAAGAGTTAAATATATATTTATACCACAAGGTGCATCACCACTTAGACAAATGTTTCTGGTTATTGCATTCCACTAAGGTTGGGAGATTTGGATAAATTCATAGATTTCATAGATTTTCATAGAAATCAGGGCTGGAAGGGACCTCGGAAGATCATCGAGTCCAGCCCCACGCCCAAAGGGCAGGAAGTCAGCTGGGGTCATAGGATCCCAGCAAGATAAGCATCCAGTTTCATCTTGAAGGTGTTCAATGAAGGCGCTTGAACCACCTCTGGTGGCAGGCTGTTCCAGACCTTGGGGGCTCGGACAGTAAAGAAATTCTTCCTTATGTCCAGCCTGAAACGATCTTGAAGTAGTTTGTGACCATTTGACCTCGTCATCCCTTGGGGCGCTCTGGTGAACAAACGTTCCCCCAGATGCTGGTGGTCACCCCTGATAAACTTGTAGGTGGCCATCAGATCACCCCTGAGCCTGCGCTTTTCCAGGCTAAAGAGCCCCATGGCTCTCAGCCTGTCATCGTAGGGTCTGCTTCCCTGACCTCTGATCATGCGCGTGGCTCTTCTCTGGACTCTCTCAAGCTTCTCCACATCCTTTTTGAATTGTGGAGCCCAAAACTGGACACAGTACTCCAGCTGCGGCCTCACTAAGGCCGAGTACAGGGGGAGAATGACGTCCCGGGATTTGCTTGAGAAGCATCTATGGATGCAAGCCAGCGTTTTGGTCGCTTTACTAGCCGCCGCATCGCATTGCAGGCTCATGTTCATCTTGTGGTCAGTGATGACCCCCAAGTCTCTTTCTTGCATAGTGCTAGCCAACATAGCACTGCCGAGCCTATAAGGATGCTGCGGGGTTTTTTTCCCAGGTTTTTTTTTCCCCAATTCCACGCTGTTAGAAAAATATGAAAGGAAATAGAGGGAATGCGCTCACAAAGATAAATCGAATGAAGATCTTATAAGCTCAGAATATCCGTTTAAATTCTATCTTGTGTGTTATAAATCCTATAATGGCACAGGCCGGGATTTCTGCTTGGTAGGCATGTCTCTTTCATAATGCTCCTTGACAATGATTAATGGAATTAAACACATTTAGTCCCATCAGTGACAAATATTATGAGTAGCAATCAGCAGCTGTTTTTCAGTAGCACACTACTGATTTTCAGGAGTTGCATTCAGCTGGCTGTTACCTGGACCAGGGTAAACCCGATTGGACAATATGTTTGGCATGTTTGTAGGCTGAGGGATGGACGGTCCAAGGTGGGAAGCTACATGAATCTGTCTTGGGTCAGCTGATGCCATCATTTCGGTAGAAGGCAACAAGTCCCTAAGCAGAGAGAAAAAATGACAGTCAGACATGCAAAGCACATCCTCCAACACCCGGGTTAAAGGATTGATTATTTGCAGCATGATATGAGTTTCAGAGTTCTGAAGCTATGAAGTTTGCCCCAGGTGAGTGAGTTAGAACTAGGACCATAATCTCACAATTTTCCAACATTTTTGTTACAGAACAATCAAGAACAACCTGGGTTAATGTTTCATCCTGTACGTTATGGGATATGGGACCTTTGACAAGCACAGTCGTCAATACTTCAGTTTTACCTTTCAGCTGGAAGACAGCATGTGCAGTAGCACCATGTTCCAATGCTGCCCTATGGCTTGGATTCAGAGAGAACAGAGAAATTGTCTTGGCTCAGTATGTTCAGACCATAGGGACTGTTATTAAATGGTTGGGTCAGCAAATGTTTGAGGAGTTAAGGCTGGGTGTAACAGCAGACAGTAGCATAACAAGAGCAATGGATTCTTTTTTAGCCAGTGACAGAGATATTCAATTTTCTAGCTGCAGTAAAGCTAAGGAGATGCACAAAAGAGATACTGGCCTTTAACCAGCTGGCAATTATGGAAGATACACACTTAAGGTGACCTGCTGTTCTTTAAATGCAGTGTTATAACTGAGGAAATGTGGGAGAAAGTACCTGTCTACAAACCGAGGTTCAAACTGTGAAGGAATTGCCTGCATTTTCTGTGGGCCTGCTCCCATTAGCTGAGGGTTCGCTGCCATCATCTGATTCCTTATTAGCATCTCTTGTCGCTGTCGCAGTTCTAATATAAAGCAAAGTACAATGCTGTAGCAAAAATAGTAAGTCAGGAGGTGATTTTATTCACAGCATCAGCACTCCCAGAAATACAACATTTCTTCCTTAATTACAAGTGATTTCAGTGCTAAATTAGGTAGTGTACCAATTTTCCTCTAATCATCTACGAAGACAAGATACAAAGTTCACACTGAACAAAAACTGTTGTCATCTCCTGGCCTAAGCTACCTGTGCATCTGATTGATTCATAATTCATATTCTGCAATCTTTAAGAGACTAAAAGTAAACCAAGAGTCATGTAAACACACTGACAATTTGCATTTTCACTGACCGGCATTCTTGCATACTGGCCTCTGGCTTCCATTCTATCCCATCCAGGAAGAGCACAAAACAACTGCGGACTCTTCCTATGCCTGGAGAAGAGTGTTTGTACCCAAAAGCTTGCAAAGAATAATTTTTACAACTATTTTAGTTTGTCTAGTAAAAGATATCAGATTTACCCAAAAAACGTTGTCTGACAGTTTATAAATTCATTACTGAATCATATAGCACCACTATTACACAGCAAATGAGTATGATGTAGAGGAAGACTGTAGAAGATTTTATTCCTAGGGCAAGTATATAAAAATAAGAGGAATCTAATTAACTAAGAAATATTTCAAGCTGTTCTGCGGTGAGATTGCATGATCCAGGGAAATGAACATGCACTTGGGAACCCCTCAATTTGCTCCTGAATCCCTGTGTGGTTTTATGCAGCTTTTTTTTTTTTTTTTTTCAAATTTGGGGGCCTAAAATTAAATACCAAATTCCAAGTAAATCACCTCATTAAAGTCTGATTCAAATTTCAGTGAAGCCAATGGAAAGACTCACATTTTTTTCAGCATGTTTGGAACAAGTCATAAGGGACCCGTTTTTCAGTTACCCTGGCTTCTACTGAAATCCATATTTGAGATTGTTGTTTTTATTTCACTTTAAATTTCAAATGAGTTTAAAAGTTCCATAGGCCCAGGGGCCATCTGCAGCTTTGGAACCTCCTGAGAATTTGAAGCTGTTTTAGTTTCTTCTGCATCGTCTGTATTTGAGGGGTATTCACCAAGAGTCAAATTTAGTTAAGAGTGAAGGGAAAAAATGATGATTTTTTTTAACTTAAGCTGTCTTTTACTCCACTTGCTTCCAGGACATTCATATACAGCAGAACTGTCTCTTCTGGGTTGACTCCAATAGCAGCCTTTCATCTGCTTGCAAAGACATGGGGTTTGGAGAGACTTTTTTTTCATTCATTTCTTCTGCAGAGGCAGAAGCTGCATTGTTTCCTGTTTAATTTGAAGCTTATCATTACAGTGTTCAAAATTTACTGCCCTTAATGTAAAGTGTAAAAGATTAGTAAATGACTAATGGTTGTTCTAATAAGTGACTGATTAATCGTTACAGTGTCCACCAGATCAATAAACTTCCTATAACCATGGCTCACAACCATCTATGACATCTACTGATATGCTTACAAAAAACAATGCATACTACTCATTTCTGTGACGATATAATAGCATTTATTAACCATGTGTTAACCTTGTATAAACAGAGCACTAATATAAAGAGAGGGCATTACATTACATTACATTTATTTGGTTCAAATGCACTGTTAGTGTGTGCAGATAGGCAGCATTGGATATCCATATTTGGTTCCTTGACTATTGTTCCTCAAATTATCCACTTACACCCCCTGAATATTTTAAATAACAACATTTAACATTTTATTTAAAAACTCTGTGGCTGTTAGTTGTCAGTAATCCCACTGTCACAGTGTCTCACAGTTCTAGGAATTTAATGATTCAAAGTATGGACTGTGCCTTGAAGACCATCAGCCTTGCTGATCCTGTTTGCCCACTAATGACTTAAGCTGATCCTGTGGGGTATTGAGTACTTCCCTGGATGATCACTTGCTGAAGTTGATGACAAAGCTCTCATTGAATAGCAAAAGATCAGTGGCTTATTTAGCTCCCCACATCTTACAGGATCTAGCCCTAATGGGTTTGCTGCAGTGGGACTGACCAGGTACACATGTTCTCTCAGGTGCTCCCGCATCAAACCTTAATTTTTCCAAAGCTCCACTGTGACATGAACTGGACTTCACATAAAATCTGGAAAACACATTTCAGAAGCTATTTCTTCATTTTTTCTCCAAGTCGTAATCAAGAATCTGGTAGAGAACCTGCTAGGACATTAGGTTTGCCAAGAATTATTTCTTACGTGGTGTAGAAAAGTTGTGAACACTATACGAAGTCTTGGCTAGTTCTAGCTTACCTCCTGCAGACATGCTGCTTGCTAATCGGTATAAATGCTTTTCTTCCAAGGTGCCTTGTTCCCCAAGTATAGATATCTTTCTCATGTGATCTCGAGGAGTCATGTTATGAGGTGAGGCAGCAAACTTTCCTCTTTCAGAGTGAAGAATGAAGTCAGCAGGACCCAAGAAAAGAAAAAAAACATTCAGTACTTAAGAGAGAAATCATGTCCCTTACATGATAGTTTTTGCAAAATGCCAGAAAAACTATCAAGACAAGAAAGGGAATGGCACCAGCTCCACACTGAGCTGTGCCACAGTCCCAAACCTTGCTTGTGCAGGTGAAAGTCAGGACAACACTGTAGAAATGTTAGCTACTTAAGGGCACTGACTAAGCCAGGGTCTCATGCCAGCTGCCCCTCAACTAATCTACATGCCTCACCAGAGCTCCAGGTGTGGAGGTGCTTACATTCATGGTGACAAGAACACCTGATTTGGGAAGAGCTATAATATGGAAGATGCATTTACTGCAAACTGGATTAAAGAGGCTGAGAGAAACTGCAGAAATGAGCTATTCCAAATAAACAAGAGCCCCTTTAGGCTGCTGAACAAAGCACAATAAAGGGATGTATTTTGTTGATAAAAAATAGGCCTGAATTGAATATGGCTTCCTCTGCTAGGGCTGTAACGATGAAGGCTTTTACTGCCATAGCAGAAGCTGGAGAGAAGATTCTACTCATCTCTATAGCTATTTGATTTTTTTAGTGTTGTGTCAGTATGTCATAGATAATTTACATGGGATTTTTGGTTATACCAGGACATTTCCCAAAAGGTGTTGCCACTGAAATTCCAAATTCTACTTCTGTTTCGGTCTTCAGAGTATATTAACGTGAATTAGGAAGATGTCAGTTTTGCCTACAGATTCTATAGGAAATGCATAATTTCATTCATTTTTTTTATGCAGAAAGTTGTGTCACAGTTGACTAAGAAACAAAGAAATTGTCATATTGGGAGAGAACTTTAGTTTGTCTGATTTTAACCTAATTATCAAGAATAGCAAGAGGCCCAGCCTCAGAGATAAATAAAAACACTCCTGGCATCCCTGGCCAACTTAATTATATTATTCCACTTTAAACATTCCTTCTCAGGCCACTAACAGTTAGCTTGTGTCCTGATTCATGAAGCCAACTTTATAATTCTTTAAAAAAGCAGTCCAGTCTCAATCAGGAATCTTATTAGAAAACACATGAAATAAAAGGAGTTTGGAAATAGACGTGTACTTGTGATATGTGTATTAGCCAGGACTTGAGAGACTATTCAGAATCTTAAAGCAGAGCTCATTTCATGCATATATACCAGCTGTCCAATGTTACGTTCATGTGTGGCTCTTCTCTGATCCTATTGCACAAATCCTGGCTGTACAGCACATTACAAGGATGAAGACAACTTAATCCCTCCTGTTAGAGTCTTACCCTCAACAAACCCTTTCTGGCAGCAGGTAGAACCATTCACTTGGTACTAATTCTGTCTTAATTTATTAGGCAAGAGGTGGTGAGACACAAACTTCATGAACTAAAAGCACTTCCAAATCTAATCATGTTATGTAGCATGTCACACAATGGAAAGCAGTTTGTAAATATAGATAACTTTATTAGAAGTAATTTGCACATAGCTTATAATCAAAGTATATTATGTATAATATGAACTTTTTGGAAGGCTGTCAGTCTTTACAATTATATAAATCAAGGTTTTATTCACTTAAATAACACTTTGACATATTTCATTTGCATGTGAAATTTGACACATTTCACAGCATTTCATAGCCACGTACCATTCAAACAGTAATATGCAATATATCGTGGTAATAGCTCCGCAGAGCTCTTTTGGAAGCACATAAGCATAGTTTAAACTGTTCAAGTCAGTTAAATGGAAAGGAGGCAGTTTTTTTAAATGGAATCTTACTCCTGAATATACTCAACATTGTATTTTTCCATTCTCAGTTTTCTTTGCTGTTTCTTTCAGAAAAACTTTCCTGGCTGCTTAGGTTGCTTCAAAGAGAAAACAGATGAAGTCCCAAAAATAACAACTGACATCTTACTGCCTTTGCCTTAAAACTGGGAATAACAAAGTGAAAGAGCGTGCTGGATTCATGAGGCCAAAGTTAGCAAGCTGAGACAGTCATCATACATCAAGAAAACAAATTTAATTACATTGTATCCTACAGTAATGTAACAGCATCCTGCCTTAGTTGGGGTAAAGTACAAATCAGTAACCTATGTTAAAGTTGAAGTTACAGGTTACATTTAGACCATACTAAATCTGTGGAATGTAGTTAGCTTGCGCTGTAAGCAGTTGCACATTAAGGGTTACTACCACTAGAGGTCTGACTTAACACTAGAGGGTGGTGAGTAGGGGTGTGGCTAGGAGCCTGCTCTGGGTGAGGAGAGGGGGTATGGGAGCAATGAACCCTGGGAAGCTGCAGGACTCTGCAAATTCAGGCCTGTTGTTAGTAGGTGCAACCCTCATTGAAGTAAATGAAATTTAATTTTAAGAAGCCAACTTCAAAAGTTATCCTTATTGGAGTGCATCTAGTTCTTATCTGAGTGAATGAGAGAAGCAGCAGACTACTTCATTATTCAGTATGTTTCCAAGGCACCTATTAATGGTATAGACCAGTGCAGGGGAAGATCTGGGGGAGGGGTGCAGTGGTGTAATTGTACCCTCCCCCCCTTTTGATTCCTGCTCCAACCAAAGTTTAAAATGAACAGCATCAGGAAAGCAGTGGCATTTCTACTCAGGCAGTGCTGGGAGAATCAACTGACTTCATGGCTCATTATTGTCTCTCTGATTCCTGCTAATCTCTCCTTACACCACAGGTATAAACAATCCTCTATCCTTTTTAATGGTTTTAAGTCCCATTATTCAAACTGACCTTCATTTTGCAATTTTGCTGTCTGCTAGCCATCCCTGGTGATGGATCTCTTCTATTTCACAGCCATGCAGACTCTTTCTGGCTCTAGCTAAAATCTTTAACTCAGGTGTGGTAATATTAACTCAGGTGTAGAAATGATTGACAGTGAAGTACTGGAAGGGCTGTCAAGATGTTCAAGAAGGCTAGATTTTGTTTTATGAATCTGAGTAAGAGATGTACATTTAACTATAGTAACTACAGAACTAATTAAACAATGTCTTTTGACTATTTTAACTATTGTTTGCCTAGTTTGTTGTGCTTTTTTAAAACTTTATATACAGTTTGGAAGTTTAGTGCATGTTCCGAAAGTTATATTTGTTTTCACTTTGATCTTAAACTGAATAATAACAGATCCCTAACATATTAGTAAAGCATCTAGTTTCTCTTTAACTGAAGAAAAATATGTGTTGTGTTGTATGTGATGATGTGCCACACCATCTGCATCCCTGTTTTTAGAAGCCTAGATCTACCCATGGATTAGTAGCTTTCAAATTTTCTTAAGTCACGAAACCCTTTCATATCACTTCTTCCACTGCAGAACTGCTATGCCTATCCCAAAGACTGAGCCAGGTGACCCAGCCCAGCAATGACTGGCTCTGCTATTACTCCTGATCTCTTTGTGGAACCCCTGAGCCCACAGTATACAACTTGAAAAACACTGGAATAGATTAAAGTAGCAATTAAAATCATGGGCTTTTTGTGCTAAGCATTATAAAAATATTGTACAAACAGTCCTACCCTGAAGAACTAACAGTTTAATAGACTTGCTACACTAAGGGTATAGGAAAGGAAATATTATTATACCCATGTTATGGATAAGAAACATAGACACACAAAAGTTAAGTAACTTGCTTGAGATCACAAAGGAAGTCTGTGGCAAAACTGGGAATTCAATCCAGATCTTTATTGTAGCTTGTGACAACACCCAAAGGTTCCTATCAGGCCTTGTAGTTTATGAATATACAAGAAAATATGGGCCCCACTCTAAAAAGCTTACAATAATTTTTCCATCTGAAATCTTTTTCCTAGAATAAGGAAAATGGAAAACAAACTTAATCAAAATAAAGTCTCCAAGGGGGGAGAGAGGAGCCACTAAATACCACAGACCTGCAAACTCACAATAAAAGATCATTTGAGTCATGTAGATTTTCTAACAGGAGATAAAACGTGATGATGATTTGTTTGGGTTTTTTTTCCTGCACATACTTCATAATTATTACTGAGCCTGTGTTTCATCACCATTGACACTGGCATCCTGTACATGGGTTTGTTTTTTAAAGCCTAAAGGTTATGAAAGGAATGCTATATTAAAGGAACCATGGAACAGGGGTAGAGGGAGGAATTTTCCTCTTTTTATGTTTTTGACCTGTAAAGAAGATGTGAATAGGTTGGGTCCTTTTTTACTTTGTCTGTTTTATGGTCTTGGGAATTCAGATCCATCCAAGGCAGGATGGCCAACTCCTGGGCAACAAGAAAACTCAGATGAGATTTGCAAAAGAACCAAAGGGAGTTGGGTTCACAAATTTCATTGAATGTCAATGACATTTTGACATCTAATTTAAACCCCTCTCATAATTGTAGACCTGGTGCAGATGACAACATTACTTGGAGTCAAGAAAAATTAAGCAGTTGAAAAATGAAGGTACTTTTACCAAGTTATTTAAAACTTTATTTTATTTGTGTTATGTGTTGCTTTGTTTAATATCTATTGAATTTCAATAACTAACTAGCAGTTTAAATAAAGAAAGCCCATATGAAGCAATCAACACCATTCCCCTTCAGTTAGGATATTAGATATCATAATAAACATCCCTCAGACCTCCCAAAAGTCCTCCAAGGAAAGTATGGAAAACCACACTTGACATTTCATATAATAGGCAACCATCAGTCCTCTACATCTTGGTGTACACGTAAGAGGTCTGGTCAGGTGCATGATGAATCTGCTTTGACAATCATACCAAGTCCTTTGTCATGTACACTTAGGCAAGAGTATGGAGAAGTGGAGGCTGCCCAAGACCTACCACCCCCTCTTTAGACCATTGAGACAGAATCCAACAGCCAGACTAAGTCCAGATGTTCAATGCCTCAATGGTTATAGCTTCTGCCAGAGAGCAACAGATAAAAAATGCTGATGACTGTTTAACGCGTCAGAAAGGGCATGTTTCTGTCAGGGTGATGTCCCATAGCCTTTGTTCAACCAAGGAGTACCCACAAGGCTGTGGGGAGCTAGGGTTTTGAGGCATCCTATACTCACCTTACTCTGGAGGTTGCAACATTGTGGTATTTTATAGGAACTACCCACATTTCATATATTTTTAAGATTAAAAACTAGTGTTTTTAAAACTTTTGGGTTTTCCTTATGGTCACAAAGCTAATGGTTAAAAAGTTCTTTAGAAGTCACCTTAAAATACATA